ATCTCCCTGAATGGTCACCCTGGTTCTACCTTTAACTATTTTATAATCTACTCTCCACACAGCAGCAGAATGATTCTATCTAAATATAAATCAAATTAATTCTCTACTCAAAACCTTCCAAGGGCTGCCAACTCACTCTAGGTAAAAACCAGAGTCCTTGCAGTGGACTCCAAGGTGCTGTGATGTATACCACCACTCCCCTCAAACATCATAGACCCTTTGCCCCTCACTTTTTCATTTTGTTTTAGCCATCCTGGGATCCCTTTGCCTTAAGGCTTTTGTACATTCTATTCGCTCTGCCTAGAACACTTTTCACCAAGATATGTACACCGTTCAATCTGTCATTTCTTTCAGGTCTACTATTAAATGATATATTACCAATGTGGCCTTCCCTTAACCACCTTATATAAAGTATAAGGTGGCTATATAAAAAAATAGATATATGTATATATAATAACGACACTCTACCGTCACTGCTTCTCTCTCTTGCCCTGACTTATTTACTTTATACTAATTATCACTGCCTGACATTATTAGTATTTCTTTATTTTCTACCCCTCCCATGCTAAGTCAATTCTATGAAAGGAAGTTGTTTGCTCCTAATTTTATAATGAGGAAACTAAGGTTAAAAGAGGGTGAGTAACTTGCCCAAAGTAATAGATACTTTGGCCTAAAGCCTTTGTACTCTTCAATCCTTTTGCCTAGAACACCTTCCATGTTCAAAGTAGGTCTTAATCTTTGTCTCCCATCAAAACCTCTGTACTTTGTACTCCAGCTGCTGAAAGTACTTCACAAGGTTACAGTCAGGATTAAATGTGAATATAAGCATCAATAAACTTTATAGAATTTTAGGCCACATAGAGTTGTTAGTTCTTGTGGTTTCATCTCTAAGATCAAAGTCAGAAAGACTACCCTGTTTCTTCAAGTTTATTTTTATCTACATGAGAAAAATACAACTATTCTCTGGGAAGCCTAAATAAACTCCAGGTATTAAAATTTAGACAGGCTGTCTTATGTTACTAACATGTGGTTTCCTGTAAGTAAAGGAAATAAGATATTTTGGTTCTTGAAATAGTCAGAGGTGAGCACCTGGGCAAAAGCACAGCCACATGATTTTGGTTTAAAAACAGCTCCAGGTTTCACCTCTCAGCTGCAGATGAGTTTTGGGGTATATAGATAGCATATAGCAGGTAAAGTCTGCCAGTTAGCAGTTGTGAAGTAATTCAGTAAATTAATGATAGAGAGCCTCAAGTGTTTTCAAAACTTTGATCTCCAATTTGCCAAAGAATTGTGTATCTGAAGCATTACGTTGCCCAAATGAGAAGCACAATGATCTAAACACTTAGATATTTGGGGAATAAACCACATTTGTAATTTTCTTCCAGTGATCTGTCATGATTTGTACATGAATAAACATTTAAAAATTCTATTCATGTTTGCAATTTATCCCATTTAACTATTGGAAAAAAACCAACGTGCAAGTTGAAATAGTTTGTTGAAATTCCCTTAGTGGCAAAAACCAAAAAACAGGATGAGAACACTTACCAAAGTTTCTCCTCCAACTAGTGATATTTGTCTCGCAGTATTTGTTGCTCACGACTTAACTAGGTCGTATTAGAATCACAAAATTGCCAATATGTGACTGATTTTGACCTATAAAACATAATTTCACATGGTTCAAATTAATAATAATAAAACACTTAAAACCACAGCATGTATAAATTCAGAAGGTTTTGCAAATATATTATTTTAAAGAAGGTGCTAAAGGAGCAAAATTAATTAATTCTCTCACCAACTGCAGAGAAGCTGTCATTAGATAAAAACAAACTTATAGTAAGTGATTTTGCAAAACTGAATATTTTATGAATGCTAAATGATAATGTCAAATAAGGTTACAGACTACCTATGCTTAGTTAACTCAAGAACACCATGCCAGGAAACCCAAAAGTCATAGTATAATCCCTTTGTTATCCTGTTAACTCTGCCATGCTCCATGACCCACTGTACTCACTCCTAATCCAGGACATTTATCTCTCAAATGCATGTTCCAAGGCAGAGAGTGAGAGGCAAGCATTGGGGTGGGGATGAATTTCAAAAAAGGTGCAAATCCGTGACTCCTGCAGTAAAGGTGGGAGACATCTAAAAGCAGGTTCCTGCACCTGCCCTATGTGCTCAATAAATGGTGAATAAATGAATGATTGAATGAATCAGTGCCTTAGTAATGAGTAAGTAGTCTCATTCCAAATTATGAAAGATAATAACTTAAATGACATCGCTAAATAAATAAAACCATGTAATGTGTTTTAGCTGGAAGGAACCTTAAACATATCTAATCTCATATCTGTATTTTGCAGTTGGGAAAATTAAGGCTTGAAATTAAATGATTGACCCAAAGTCACACAGCTTCTCAGTGTCAGAGCTGGGACTAGGATTTGACTCCTGCTTCTCAGTGTAATACTCCTTCCAATACATGATATGATAAAGCATCTTCCTCACCATTAGAAAACTAACATATAATTTTCACATCCTGAATATAGCAGAGGAGTCTTATTTAGTATTACAGTTGAAGGAGGATTTAAAGATTACTCATTCTATGCGACTGATAGAGGCTTAATTTCCAGAATATATAGACAGCTCATACAACTTGATAACAACAACAAAAAAAAACCCAATCCAAAAATGGGCAGAAGACCTAAACAAGCAGTTCTCCAATGAAGACATACAAATGGCCAATAGACACATGAAAAAATGATCAATATCACTAATTATCAGATAAATGCAAATCAAAAACTATGAGATATTACCTCACACCAGTCAGAATGGCCATTATTCAAAAAAATTTGAAAACAAATATATATATGTATCTGCATGACTAGGTCATTGTGCTGTACACCAGAAACTGACACATTGCAACGGATGGTTCTTAAATACATTAATTAATTAAAAATTAAAATTAAAAAATAGGGATTACTTATTCTAGCTCCTTATTTTACAAAGGAGAAATCCATAGTGCAAAATGTTAAATGATTTGTCTAAGATTAGCCAGTTAGAGAATCAATATTCAAGCTCAAGTCTCCAGATCCCCAAATCCAGAACACATTCTACAGCATGCTGAAGGACATTAGTGCACTTACAGCGTATTTGTTTTTTATATACTTCGATGGCATATGATTGTCCAAAATGTGGGCAACAGGAAATGTTTATTTATATACAAGTACATGGGAAAGCAATTTCCATTCATCTTTTTTAAAAAATTCTGTTACAAATAAAAAGTTATTAATACATTCATCCTTTGCACACAAAATACATTCTTTTTACTTTTACTCTCAGTATGAATTATTTCTTAATAATAAAAACTGAAGCAACAGTGGACAGTCAGGTGGTTTGGCAATTTGACAATCTTTTTTCAAGAAGGAAAGTCCAAACTTTAAAAGACAGTCGATATACAGAAAGGAAATTGTATGTTAAAAGTGCTCCTTCACTGAATCCTAGAAGATTGAATGAGTGCTGCGCTCCAGCATGATTTGTAGCTGTCCTTTAAAACATTGCAGAAGACTTAGAAATTCTCTATGTGATGACAATTCAATTTCTGTAAGACTGAAGCAGTCTTCATGAAATTGATTATCATAGCTGAATGATAGCCTCATAGAAAAATTCTTATAGACATATGGGAGAGTTGGCAATTATTCGAGGATCTCCTAATTGACCAATTGATCTAAGATTATAAGTTGCATTCTCTAAGTAGGATTTTAAGAGGTTCTGCTTAAATGAACACAAGTGACTTGAAATGCTAGACTAATTGCTTTATAAGAGAAAAGTGAAAACATATGCCCACAGAGAAAACTTGTACACAAATATTTATAGCAGCATTATATATAATAGCCAAAAGGTAAAAACAACCCACATGTCCATCAACTGATGAATGGACAAATAAAATGTGGTGTACACATACACACACACACACACACACACTGGAATATTATTTAACCATAAAAAGAATGTATTGATTCATGCTACAACATGAAACATGCTATGACATGAAACTTGAAAACATTATGCTAAGTGAAAGAAGCCAAACAAAAAAGAGGACATACTGTATAATTCTATTTATATGAAATGTCCAGGATAGGTAAATCTATATAGACAGAAAATAGATCAGTGGTTGCCATATGCCAGAAGGGAAGCAGGGGGAGTGATTACTAACAGGTACAGAACTTCTCTGAGGATGAAGAAAATATTCTGGAGTTAGATAATGGTGATGGTTGCACAACTTTGTGAAAATACTAAAAAAAAAACACAAAAAACCCCACTGAATTGCATACTTTAAATGGGTGATCTCTATGATGTATGACTTATATCTTAATTTTAAAAAGAGAAATGCAACCTCATGTCAAAATATTTTGCTCAGATTCCTGTCCCCACTCCCCCCTTTTTAACATTGATTAAAGTTTTCATCCAGTCACCTTTCTACAGAATGTTTTCAGCTAATTGCACTCAGGCCATCATCAGCTTATATTTCTAACAGGCATTTTATTTTAAAAAAACACATGAACACATAAGACACGATACAGTATACTGTTAATATCTGCATATTAACATTTAAAATCAAGTATTTTGCTTGTGTTGAAGCTAATGGTTAGATTTTATACACTGGCATATTCAGATATTACTGAGAGCCTATGCTTGAAATCAACAACCAAATAGAGTTGAGTTCATAAGATTCAGTGATAAACATGTTTGTTAAAACTATGTGTATATTAAAGACCCATGTTTCAATGGGAAGAGATAGGAAAAGGGAAATGGCAGGGATTCTCTAAGTCTTCATGGAACAGCTTCTCTAAATAGTTAACTAGCTGCTGAGAAGACCTCCAGAATTATATATGTTGTATTTTATTTCATCCCTATACTAAAAGTCATGCATTAAAATGTATGCAACAATATATATGGGGCACACTTTTTCCCTTTAGATTATCAAAAATCTCTCTTAACCCTTTATTATCTGAATTTTTTAGCAGAGTTGGTTTTTTTTTTTTTGCTGAAAACAGCAATTTTACTCACACACTTACATTTATGTAAGTGTATTTACATAATACATGTATGTAGTGCCCTCACATATCATCAAAAAAGCCCCAACCACCTCGTATGTCTAGAGGACACTTCAGTGAGCAGAAATTAGAAGCCAGCATTCCAGTCGTTTGAAATTTTCTACAACAGGAACATGAAAGCCCCAACACGCCTTAAACGGATTCACAAAAAAAAATTTTAAATAAATCAGTTGACATTCATTGTTAAGTAGCCTACAAGAAAGTCCCATTAACATTCTGCAATTGTATAGGACAAGAGAGTATTTATTCCTAATGATTACATTCCAGAAAGCAGTATGTTTAGCAGCTGTTTTTCAGAGGGCTTATCAAGTTTTGCTATTGTTATTTAATCCAGGCATAACTGTGTAACCTTAAACAAAAGCTGTGCACCATTCAACCAACTAGTGACAAATTATCCTAGCAGACCAGATTCTTATCATTTGTTATTCTGTGCATGAAGTTTTGCTTTAGTGGGCATTTGGTATTCCAATTTTTATTTCAGAACTTAGTGCACACGTAGAAAGGGAAAGAAACCCTGCTAAATTTAGGTGGTAGTAATTATGTCCATTAAGTAATGTCATATATGAAATTAAATTCTAAAAGTAGATGACAAAACTGAGATTCATGACTCCATTTTACTAAAAGGAGAAAACAAGAGCCACACAACCAGAATAATTCTTTAGAAGCACACACTTGGTTATCAATTATATGTTAACTAGAGAAGAAAATACATGCATAATTGAAGAGTTAATCAACAGGAAGATGGTGATCTAAATCTGGTATCAGTAAGAAGCTGAGTTTATAAACACCTATGACATTCCCCAAGGGAATAATAATCACCTTAATGAGCTTTTCTAACTGTCAATAAAAAAAAAAAAAGAGGCAAAAGGGCAGTAATAAATGGCAAACATGGCTCCTTAAAAAGAAGACAAGATCAACAAAGTTTTCTTCCCATGAAGAATGGGATCAAGAAGAAAGAGGTTCAAATTGCACTGTGAGGTATTTCAGTAATAAAGTTAAGTTTCCTGATAATGAATTTCCAACCCTGGAATTGCCCATTGGGAGAGACAGAAGGAATACCTTTCTTGAAGTAGGTAAAGAGTGGAGCCTCTTGGGTAACAGTTATGCCCTAAGGCAGAAGGATGGATCAAGTAAGTGACTTTCTTTCAAGGTCCTCTCAGAAATGAATCTCTTTTCTTTCAGTCAGGAGGGTTCCTTGTTTTGTTCGAAGGGTCTATACTTGCATCACACCATCCAAAGTCTGCTCTTAATCAAGGAGAAAAAAACTAATATTTGAGTGCTTAATGTTTACTAAGCACTATACTTTCCATTTATCTTATTTAATTTCCACAATAATCCTAACAGGTATTATTACGAGTCTATCTCATAGATGAGGAAACTGATGCTCAAGAGATTGTGCTTTGCATAATGTTACAACTAATTCATGGGAATACTGGGACTCCTCACACCCAGCCTAGTGTTCCCCCTTCTGTACACCTCCCTGTATCACCAATTGAAGTCAAAGTCACAACCCACCAAGGATTCCATCAGGAACTAGAGCACAACAGCTCTAAAAGTTCTGCTTTAACTTAGTGGGAAAGTAAAATTTTTACTCATACACCTCAGGAAGTCAATGAAAGAAGAGGCTAGCTTTTGTGCTATGACTTCTTATCCAAAAGGGTCAAAGAAAGTCTTACCCAAACTCAAGGGTTTCTCACCATACTGATGCGAGACTAATGACTTTTTAAAATAAAGACCAATGAAGAGACATCTACCATCCTTGCAAGGATGCAAGTTATTTTGCAGGTGGAATCATGTGGGTCATGGACTTTATTACCAAATGTTGCTTATTGTTATCTCTGATTTTGAAATCAAAGATATATATTTTGTTACTTTCTACATGAAGCAAGTTGTCCTCCATTTTTTAAAAATCATTTCCAGATCATTTTTCCTTTCTTTTTTTTTTTTTTAAGAGAATCAGATCAACTGACCAAATGTCATTTGAGATTTTTCCAGAATAGATCTTGGGGACTGTTTTATGTCAGTGACCACGAGCCCATCTGTGATGGGAGCTGCAAAACTCCATGTTGGTATATTTATGGGACCTTTCACTGAAGATTCTGCTCTGCTAAAAAGGCCTATCCTGAAATTCTGAAGAGATACCAGTTATTCACTAAAACTGAGCATAGCCAATTTTTGGCAAGTGACAAACACAAAGTTTCCATGATTTCATGTAACTTCTACTAAAACAATACCTCTTAAAAATTTTAACTCAAGACCCAGTTTGTGATTTCAACAGGACATCAGTGAATCCCACAAAGCAATCCCAGAATAGGGCATAATGGCAAGCCAGTCTCTTGACATAACAGCATGTTACCAACCTCCTTCCTGGAGGATGGGATGCACTTCGGACAGAAGATCAAAGCCTTAAAAAAAAAATCATTAGCTGTGCGTCAACAGATATTTAATTGAAGATGTTACCTTTGCTGGGATCTTCTCCACATCATCTTTGCTGAGTTCTTATGTAACCTCTGCTTGACAGACCGTTACCTGAGGCAGCCCCTTCAATGGTGAACCAACTTTTTGAGAAAGTTCTCCCTGACATGCAGTTCAAATCTGTGGCCTTGTGGCCTCTCTTCAGTGGGCCTCATTCCACCCCTTTGAGCCACAGAGTCTTGCTCTAATGTACTGACTGTAATTCTCTCCCTCTCCCAAGCTACATTTCCCTAAATCCTTCAAACATTCTTCAAATGTCTTAAATTTTAAAAATCCTTCACCATCTTTGTTATGCCTCAAGTTGTTTTTAAACTATGGCTCCCAAAAATGACTGCGATGTTCCAACAACATGGGTTTAGGAAAGGAGATGAAGTGGCATCTTCCTGGCCTTAACATTACTGTATTAATGAGCTGCTGGAAGGGACGATCATTTCTTAATTCAGTATGCTCTCTCCCCAGTGTGAAGAATTCCCTCCAAATACAAATAGGCTCATGTCACAGATAGGAAATCCAAAACAAAGAAAGGAAACAAAACACATCCCTCTCTTATCCCCAAATTAATGTTCAACCACACAGCTTATGTGGAGTACATTTTGTTAGAAGGATGAGATACACATGTTTTTTCACTGCTTTTGCTTTTCTAGTTAAGTCTCAAGAGTATTTCAGTTGCACTAAACCATATCTGTCAGAGACATGGTTGAGGAAAGTAAGTAACTAGTTGCCGTTAAAAAAAAAAATTCTAGAAAAAAGAAAAGGTAAACCCCAGGAGAGCTCTCCCAGAGGCTAACAGGGCAGCGGTCCCTAAAGTATTTATGATCATGCAATACACAGAGTTCTGTAGGATTACAAAATAGAAAATGTCTATCTTTAAAGCCATTAGTTTGATAGATGGAAAAAAATTAAAGTTTTTTTCTGATTATGATTTCATTCATGTAGCTTGATTTATTAAAAAAAAGATATTTTTTCCCTTTAGTCAGAGGACCAATGCAAAATCACTTGCAACTGGTGTCTATGCAGAAAGATTCATTAACTGAAACTTGATGCTGGATCTGGAAGAATTATGGTATAACTCAAAGGGTATATGAAGCAAATCATTATCTAATATTGGAAGTCACTGATGTCCCCCAAAGGCAAACATTCATGAACAGAAGAAAGATGAATCCAGTCCTTGGTTAAATTCTGCCTCCTTTCTCCAACAAGTCTAAATTACTTAAAATAAATTACCAAATATCTATTTTGGCCAGTGGTTTTCAACTTTCTTACCAAACTCTAACTCAGAAATTGACACATCATCAAATCAATCCATCTGACTTTCGTTTTTAGTTATTTTCTTCCCTCTTTACTCAGGAAGAGGTGCTAACGTGAAATGACTAAAAACAGAGGCGGAAAAGGGCCAAGAAAACCTAATAGCCTATTCTAAATAATCCACAGAAAGATAAATTGGCCCCATATAATCAAAATTAAATGTTAATATAATTGAATAGCTCTAACAAAAGCACATAAAGAAATAAAAGCCTTGCATTGGTAAAGGAGAAAGCACAAAATCCTGTGAGGGTACAGTCTACACAAAGCCCTAACATCCTTAATATGAGCAAGCTATATGATTTCACAGATTCTCCAAATCCAACTCTGACGTGAATATGTGCTTTAATTGGAAATTGAGAAAATTTTGCCATATATTTAGTGATTGTATTTAAAAAAAAATCACACCAAAATGGAAGCAGACATGGACTCTGGTAGTCTTATGAGTCAGATCAAGCCAAAATGAACATTGAAAAGGCAACCTCATTTTCACCCACCATTAAATGAGAAGGCTCATCCTAGCAAATATTGCCATGACAGTAACAACTAGTAGGCAAACCAGTAGGTTTAGGTCCTAGCCTGGGTTAAGATGACCACATTGAACTAATGTCCTTTCTCAAGTTCTATTTGAGAAAGTTCTGTTTATCCGGAAAAGCTCCTCTTGGCACTAAGTCGTTTATTCAACTAATGTTTATTGAGCACCTACAATATTATCAGGGTTTGTTCTCAAACTTGAGATACATCACTGAACAAGTGTCCATAAGGCCTAATCTGGAATTCACACAACTACAAGGAAGAAAAGAAACAAAGCCCTGCATTCTCTCGTGTCCCTGCTGATGTGCTGTAGATGGGTGACTGCAAGTTACAGAAAGGCTGGGAGGAGTAACCGGGAGGAAAGGAGCCAAGGACACAGCTTCCTAATCCCCTTCTGAGTTTGGCCAAGGGTAGGCAGAAGAGGCTGAGCCCTGGGAAATAAGAACTTCAGAATGCAAAAGTTACCCTAGAACTTATTACTTTACAACGAAATTTCCAATCTAACAAAGTCTCATTCTCCACGTTCACAAAGCAACTTTATTGTCTTGCTGCTGCAAGACAAAATTGGGCTGTGATGTGCTAGGGACATAGGGTTTTTGCCCTAGATGAAAGATAATAAACCTACACTTAGGGACATTTCCTCACCATTTAAAAAGAGTTCTTCTGCCCACCTTGATCAGCTTTTTTTCTGAATACATTTAGTTGCTGGCTTGGTGAGGAAAATGAGGTGGGAAAGGCATCTATGATAAATTATTTTGGTTGGTGTTTATTATTAAAATAATTTTTCTTTCCTGTAGAGATGGATTCTAAATTAAAAGCAATTCAAACTTCTGCGATCATTTTCTCTTACCCAAAGGATCAGGACAAGCACAGTGAGGCCAACTGTAAGTATCAGTCCCTTAAACAGTCTAGAGTTTCCGGGTGAAAGAGATGGGTCACTTTGAAAAATGCTAGAGGAACACTAGAAACGCTTCACCAATATCACATCTCTGCATGACTCATTGCTTTAATATTCAGTAGCTTTCACACATCAATAGATCAGGACCGAGATTGCCACCACCTACAGCAACAGTGGAATTACCTATCCTGTCCTTATCCCATTCCCCATCCCTTGGTTACACTAAGCAGCAAGCTACAGAAACATCTGACAGCATCAACAGCAAACAGGTTTAACTATTTTCCCAATTTGCATTTATATCAGTGAACAAATTGGAAGGTCTCAAAGTATGGCACTGAAGAAACAGTAACACATATTCAGCAGCATGGCTTCTTTTTTGAGTTCTGTCTTTAAATTGGCTAGGAAAAGGCATATACACCTCCATTTGAATTGGAGATTTGCAGTAACACATGCATAAAAGCAAGGGAGGGATGGAGCGGGATATGGAGGAAAGGAGGTAAAAGGGGGAGACCAGGAAAGAAAAGAGAGGAAAAGAAAAAGAAACAGGAAAGGATATATGGTCATGAGTCTGAGAGTAACAGTACTACAAAGAGGTGACAGATGACTACTCAGTCTGCTTCCACAAGCAGACTTTTTCTAAGGTTATCACTGCAGATACAAAAATGGTCCGTGAGACTTCATCTGTTGCTCTTCTCACGTACCATACTAAAAACATCTACAAAATCCTAAGCCTTGGTCTGTCCAAGACGGAGAGTACCAGGAAGTAAAAGGTGTGACCTGCTCTCGAGGACTGTGCTCTGCCTGGAACTCTGCCCTGCAGCCCATTAATCCACAGTATTTTGGTCAGATCTGGTCTGTTTTCTCATAGTACTTGTAATGTCTTCAAGCTAATCTTTTACAGTAGAGTATTGACTTTTTTTTTTTTCATTTTTCAAACTTTGTCATTTACTTAAAGGGCAGGAAAGATGGGAGAATGAAAGAAGAAAATGGTAGAGATTCAGAAGGGAACATGAAAGGAAAAGTATTCTCTTTTCCAACAAATCTACCCTAGAAAAGGTAGTAATGAGACTTCGAGAAAGAGCACTGATTCATGGACTTCCCTCCTTTTTTTCCTTTTATTTCTATGTAATGTATTTAAGGACATCATTGTAGTAAAATGTTTGGTCTGTGAAAGAGCGGAATCATTAGCACCAAAAGGAGTCATGGAGCTTGTATGTATTATTAAAACAAGGATTGTTACTGTCGTCACGGGTAGTTTCATTTCATTTTTACATCCCAAAGTTCTTGAAAGTGCCGGTGGAAAAGAGAAATAACACTTTTCAGAATCTCCGTGGCGCCATCAACACGCACCGCAGAGACAGGACTTGGCCTTCCCAGTTTTGGTTTATCTGGTAGACAAGAAACCCGGGGGCCCCCAGAAGCCCTAAAGAGCAGCCCCCACATGCACCCACTGCCGTGCAGGAGGGTCCCTACGGTACACTTCCCCCTGGACTGTGTTCAGGAATGCGTTTTACTTGCTTTTTTAAAAAAACAAAAGCAACATGCTCTGCAGATCATGGAGTGCCTAGTGCAATTTTCTCCTTGATCCGACTCCAGACCGCAAAAGGGTGAAACCATTATATGTTCTGCTAATGCTGGCCTGTGGACGGGGCCCTGGGCCTGCCATGCTTTGTAAGCTCAGGAGCCCACAGGAGTCAGAAGGTCCCAGAGCGGGAGCCACAGTCATCGCCAGATCTCCCTAGCAATTTGTGGCCCATTGGGGCAGCTGCTGATTCCTCTTGCTTCACCTTGCCCCAGCCTTTAGTTGAAATTACAACAAGTCAAATAGCTGATGCTTTTGCCTTCTCCAGGTAAGGGTGACGATACATTGTTCACCAGCGTGTTCTGCCTGGCTTCACTGATGAGGCGGCACGCTAAGTCAAGGAAGAGTTTCTCCACGTTATCTGATTCCTTGGCTGAGGTCTCCAGGTAATACATGTCCTGAGCTTCTGAGAATTCTTCAGCTCTCTGCTGGGAGACCTCTCTCCTTTCAGCCAAATCAATCTTGTTGCCTAAAACAGTGGTAAAATCAAAGAAGGAATCGTCATTTGACTTTTTCGCAAATTCGGAAACCTCAAAATTTTGACTCCGAATCTGAAGTCAAACCAGACAGATGGGCAAGTAACACAAAACCAATGTGACTGTGATTACTGGATTGTTCATTTTAAAATGTCAGTGCCATGTGTAATGCCACAGAACTGGAAACAACCGAAAAGTCCATCAGTTGGGCACTGCCAGAATGAATTATGTTACATCCATAGGTATTTGGAGTTACCTGCCACTGTAAAAAGCAGTGAGGAATATGTCTACACGCTGCCACGGAATGAAACATTAGGATATATTGTTAAACAAATGACACAAAGTAGAAAAAAGGGTACATAATAGATACTTTCTTAGATAGATGTAGAATGAAAAAATACGTACAGTTCATTTGCTATTTTTAACATGATAATAAAACAGAATTTTCATTTTAAAGATAATGGTTACCAATGAAAGAAACAAGGATGAAGGATGGAAACTAGACCTCTCTAAATATACTTTGTTTTATAGATCTGATTTCAGAATCTTATTGATGTTTTACATGATTATACAATTAATATAACATTAAAAATTTAAAAAGAAATTCTTAAAACTGAAAGCAAAATTAAACAAATGAACCTGTTAATCATGAAGTGGCATAACCACACAGAGAGGAACTATTTCAGATGAGTTTTAAGATACAGTAATTTAATCACACATCCCCAGTGTCATGTACCCTAAGGACAAAAAGAATTAAAGGAAAAAATCTTGAACTGTTGCAGTAATCATCTTGGTAGTGGCACCGGCATCATTATTCTGGGGTTGCTATACATGTTTTAGGGGATAAAGCAAATGAGTAATTATGCTGGTGGCATTGGGACAGGGATCTTCGGCATGAGAGAGAGGAAATACAGATATAAAATTAATGAGGTTAAATAAAATTTCCATAGTCCTGAATTATAAATGGAAGTATCAGTGTGAATAGTTCATGGTGTTATTTTATCTTTAAAAAATTTCCTACCTCTATTCTGGAAATCTGACCAAGGTGATATGTCAACTGTATTACTTGGTAACATTGCTCATAGTAAAACTGACCCTTGATTGATAACTTCCATCTGGCCTGAGAATTCTACATATGAATTATAAATACCTAATGGAAAGCCTTAACTTTGGGCTTTCCTGAGTATGGTGATTCTTCACTTGAAGAGATTCTGAAAGTTAGGCCTGTCAGGTTGTTACAAGAATGACTGGCTCCCCTGGGGCATTGAGGCTTCTAGCCAGGGATGATCCTGCACTTGCCTGAAATGAGCCTTTTCCTTTCACACCTGAACTGTCCCGGGAGGTCCTCACAGCACTGTGGACTGCTGTGAGGGCTGCCTCCACTAAAGAGGGATGCTTGATGCGGACCTGCTGTTAAGCTGTTTCCTCACCTACATCCTTCTAAGTGACTATGTTGCCAAGTGTGGCCTACGGTAGTCTCCTGAGTCAAAATGTTTAGCAGAGCCTAATAAGACACCCCCTCTGGATGCTACACAATTCAGCACGTGCACAGACACATATACACACACACACTAGCTCTGTCCCCTGAAAAGCCTAAAAAGCAATCACAAACCCCCTAGTAAAAAGAATTCCTATCACCTTGGTTGTAGCCTCAAAATACAACTTCCCATTGAAAAGAAACAGTGCTTCTTGAAGAAATGGCTAATTCCAGGTCCGGGAAAGGGAACGCGTAAGATGTGCCTGGAATGCTTTTCCTACCAGAAAGCAAGAAAGTTATCAAAGATTGCTGAGTCATGTCAAAGGGACTCAGGAGCCCATTTGAAGAAACTCCACTTTTATATAATATATATAGTTTATTGAAGTACAGTTAGTTACAATGTGTCGATTTCTGGTATAAAGCACAATGTCCCAGTCATGCATATACATACATATATTCGTTTTCATATTTTTTTTACTAAAGATTATTACAAGATATTGAACATAGTTCCCTGTGCTATACAGCAGAAACTTTTTTAAAATCTATTTTTATTTAATGGCTAAACATTTGTAAAATCTCAAACTCCAAATTTACCCTTCCATCCCTTTCCCAGTAACCATAAGA